GTTCAGCCTTGTGTGTGGGGCATGTAGAAGAACATAGGTGTTCCTTAACGACAGGTTTCAGGGTGATGAATAACTGAGTGTATCAAAACAGAAAAGTACCCAGATAAATGGGGTGAGAAGAATGTGGCAATTTCTGTATAGTATTGGCAGTACACTGCTTTTAATGTTTTCAAAGGATCTTTTCAGCGTAGCCTTGGATATGGTGTAATCAACCAGATCTGATGATCTGCCCCTCCTTCGAGATTCAGTGAAGCATGAGAGAACAAGACATAAGGGTCCTCATGGTAAATCACAAGAGAGAAGAGGAGGCTCCACATTGACCTGGTCCTCAGGGCTGAAGAAACCTTTCAAATTATTTCCCTGATGCTAAGCCTGGGTTGTATGCTGGAGAAATCTAAATTTGGTGACAGTCGTCTTTACCGTGGGTAGATATCCAGGCTGGAAGGTATATCAGGGGTTTAGTGGACAGTCAATGGCCCAAAATTATGTGCAGATGCCATTGCATTTCCCATGCAGCAGTGCTCTCCCGTCTTCTGGAAGGTTATCAGCAGTCCCATGTCTTTATTTCTTCCTGGTTTCTTAAGACTTGTCTCCTACCCAATAATCTTTTCAGCTGAACGAGTAAAATGGTTGGTTTTCAGCATAGTGCTTTTGTACACATAGGAGATTGTTTAGTAATTGTGACAGCTTTGTAGTGTTTTGTCCTGGCCAGTAGTGTAAGCAGATGCATTGTGTTGTCTTCCTGAATCCAATTTGTAACAATAATGTTTTTCTCTTACTGTGTTTCTGGAAGCGATTTGACTCCTTTCCCTTCCCCTTCTCTTTCTGCTAGGGTATCCCAGAGAGTGCCCTGCCCTGCAGGCTACCCGTTGTCTTCTGTTTGACTACTTATGCTGCCCATACTCAGAAAATGTCCTATTTTCTGTCACAGTGTTGAGAAGGAACGTGGTTAAGCATTTTAAAGGCAAATTACATCTGTCATGAGCAGCTGGGAAGGTACAACTCAGCCATGTTTTGGGAATAGATTTGTGTGAGATTACTTTAATGTAGAGACTAAAAGTCATTTATGAGATAGACCAGTGAGCATCTTGGGGCAGCTTTTCTACATGAGACTTTCATGCTAAAAAACAAAAGCCCAAATGTAAAACTCCCTAAGCTGCTTGATTAATTTGATTCATTTCCTCTGTATCTTCAATTTCAAAGGCATTTAGGAAGATCATTTGCACAAACATAAAAGTTCTCTTTAACTAAAGTCAACCAATGTTTTTTTTCAATGAGCTAGAGCTCATAAGAAAGATTCAAACATTAACTGTGTAAAGAAGGCAATTAGTGTTTGTACAATATATTGAAAATTAGCCCTAGGCATACTGGAAAAATACATGTTTTATACATGTATATTTTTCATCCAATTACATAGTTTATATTAGATCTGGACGTAGATACTCCTAAAGGCTACCATATTAACTCAAACTGTGAAAGAGGTTGTGATCATCTATAAAAAGGTTTTTTTAAACTATAATGTAGTTGGTCTTACTCTGTATATTTAATCACTCAAAGAAAAAGCCTTTTCTACTGCTGTAGTATGTCAAGGAAGCTTATCTGCATATAAACAGCAAAGTGAGACCTCTCTTGTGTTACAAAGCTTTAACTTTTGTAGTTTAAAAGTCGAGCATTTCTAAAAATGTACTAATTATGTCATTCTGATGAAAGGAGATACCCCTCTCACTTTGTCATGGGGTGATACTTTCCATAGTTTTAAAGCTGTCATAGGAGTAGGAAAAAAGCCATCATAGCAGTCAGTGGAAAAGTTTTATTTAATAACTGTTGGGGGGTCCAATCACAGGGAGCAACTGCCACGTTATTTGTCTTAAAGATTGTGCATCCATTATCATGAGTGTTTTGCCCACAGTCTGATAGGAATTAAGGTCAAGAGAAGGACCATTTTCTTGAAGGGGCAGAAGCAGGAATCGACGCAGCCATGGGTAGAGTACCAATTAAAAACTTGGGAACATTTTCTGAAAATATGAGTACACCCACAGTCTATTAAGGAAAATACTTCTTTTTTTTACCGTACTCATTTAAGCATTTGATTCTAATAGGACAGAGAGCAAACCTAAAGAAACGGTTTGTGAGGCTTTGGTGCTATAATGAGCACAAATGTACTTTCTGCGGTTGATTATGTTAAAGTATTTGTTGTTTGTATGAATTATTGTGGTGTATATAGCGTGAAACCTTTCAGGAAGACTTGCTGAAACTTTTGTTTGTTTCTACAAGAGAATTCTCTAGAGTGAAAGTCGATGTGGGATCTTAGATGCAGGAGTAGAATGGCTTGCCTTAACGTGTGGAAGAGAGCATATGGTTTTGGTAATAGGCTAATAAGAGCAATTAACCTTATAGTGCACTCATTTGTTGGTCTCAGTTGTTTATAAACTAGGTAGTAAAGATATCTTAACATCCTATAGCTTTATAGGAGATTAGTGAAATCAGGCTGTATTTTTCAAGTTAATGCCTAACAGTACTCAGGTGATAGTGTGAGCAACAGAAACATAAAATTAGCAGAGAATAAAATATTCAGAGTACTCTGTGGTGTGTCTAACCAGTGAATATAATCACAGATGTATAAATGCATAGTATAGTTTAAAGAAATAAAAACATGTGTTAAAGGTTTTCATTAGAAGAGGGACTGTTTTCACAGGATGCGGTCGCAGATCTGTCATTCAGCTTGTTCTTGTCACCTTGCAAAGATTATAACGTAAACTGTTTCCATACTTATGTAACGTAAAAAAGAATTTTAACCTTACCTCCTTCTTCGTACTGTGCAAATACACAGCATTTCCTATAACATCTTCCATGTAATTGTTCAGAAGGATGAACTTCATAAAAGAATGGGTTTCTTTTAACAGCAAGCACCATTATTGTCGTCTTTTTTTTTTTAAAAGGACTAATAGAAGTTAAGTCACTTCCTGCAGAAGTTCCAGTTTCTCAGTTAGGAGCTACTGTGTTTGTCTGGCAAACAGAGAAGTTGGGTACAACTGAACAAGTAGCTTACCCCACAAACTACACCCACAAGAAAAGCCTTTTTTACTTCATTCTCTGTTGGCTCCTTGCATCAAAGGTGCTGTAGTTCCGACAGTCGTTGTCCTGTTGAGCACCTTGCTGTGCAGGCAAGTGACTCCAAGGGTTGAATGATCTTTATATTGCAAGTAGTTTGGTTTCTAGGTCGGTGATGATGGGAGAAGGATGGTGTCCACATAACGGTATTTTTTAATTTGGTTCTAGAACTTTTGGCAGTCAGCTTTTGGGCTCCTGCCCTTGTGCAATATTTATCCTGAAAACTTTTGCCTATTTATTGACAATGTCCCAAAAGAGACCCCTAAATCAGTTCATTTGTGGATTTAATTTTGAGCATGTAAAATATTATATATTGTGGTTGTTAGCGTTTTGTCTGTCCTTCCTGGTTTACTGTCATTTGTCTGATTTTTACCTTATATGTTGGTATATTTTCATTGAATTTAGCTAGTGATAACCCTAATGAGTTGTTGCTGCTTTTTCTTTATCCTGAATTTGAAAGGCAAGATAATAATGTTTTTCTTTTGGGTTTTCTGCAGAAGCTTCCACGAAACCCTTCTGTACAAATCTGTGGTCTTGTTTTTTTCTGTTTCATTGAATTGACTGAACAATGTATTTGCTGGTGCAGCATTCACTGAATATGAGGACTCGTTTGCGTTATTAGACTTGACAGTGTTTAAACAATACTAATTCTCATACCCAGCTGGCTTTTCAATTGATTTCTGTGCTCTCTGTTGCTGTGTAAAACAAGCTGGAACATTAAAGACATCTTGCATGCTACCCTCTGGAGACTTGTTTTTCTTTACAGAAAAATTAAATAAGTGTAAAATTTCCTGGGTTTTCTCCTCATATATTTTCTTCTGGATCTTTAAATGATATTTCAGTGTACTGACAAATTTTGTACAAGTTAAGATGCTAATTTTCAAGCGCATACTTTTAAAAAGCAGTTTTCATTTTATAGTGAGATTTGCTAGTTTGCTCATTTGTTTATAGAGATAAATGTCTCTTTCTTCATCTAAAACAGAATATACCAGCCTTAAAATCATGTTCAAGATGTACGTAAACATGCTGTTTTAACGCAGCTAGAATTTTGCATATTTAAAATGTGTTTGCTAAACAGTCAAAGAACATTTGCAGATCTTAATAATTTGTTTTACCCGCTCACTTTTTAACGGTATTTAAGCAACCTGAAGTTTTGAGCTAAGTGTTGGAATCAGAATTCCTTGGGCGGGCGAGGCATAAAAAGCATTTTTCTATCCTGTAAATGTCTATATTTAAGTCTCACACCTTTAGACAAATCCAAGCTTTAAAACATATGCTCCTGAAAAATGAATTTTCTCAGCTCTAGAAGAGTCATCTGTGATGGGCTTCAGCCATTGTTCAGGTGACTCTTGTAGCACGAGTCTCTCTTCCAGTCCCTTAAGAGACTGCTTAATTTCATATGAATTTCAGTTTATTGTGCAATATCAGCTTTCTGAAACCCAGATTTGATTCCTCATCTACTCCACCTCCCCAAATACTTGGGTAGCCCTGCAGCTGGGGTGAGGATTTGGGGTGCTCAGTTGTCATGGGTCAAATGAGGGCAATGACCTCTCCTAGAGGACTGGTCAAAGCTGAGCAGTGGGACTTGATTTTTAACTTCAAGGAATCAGCGCTTTCTGATGAAAAGTCATAACATTCTTGGCCATAATGTGTTCCTATACTCTTTTCACTTTTTGCACGGAAGCCAGGTAGCCGCCCCTTGTGTTCTTTGTTGCCACTTGTACAAAATGTGCGCTAGTATCTGTTTCACACAATGTCATGAAACTCCATGTTGTGCGTATAAAGTCACTTGGAGTCATTGTAGGAAATATTTTATGAATAATGAATGTTTTGCTCACACAATATTTCATTTAAGCTTTTTTTTTTTTTTTTTTTTAAATTTATTACAGCTGGTCTGAAAACCCAGAAGAATGGAAGTTTCAAAAGACAAGACAAACCTGGCTTCTCTTACACATGTACGATAAAGAGAAGGTTTGTATTAATTTTGCTTTTTCTCAGAACATATCAAATATGATACAAAGTTTTATACATTAGTTATAGCTATTCTTTATTAATGAAAAGTTGCTAGTACTAGCCATGCACTTTTCTAATAATTTTTTAATAATTTATAAATCAATTACTTTGTTTTTAACCAAAATGCTGAATCATTTTATTTGCTTGTAATTAAACTTTTTATTTTGTTGGTGATCATTCTCCTGTGTATGCTAGATTTTTGTACTTGATATATGTCAAGCATAAATAGAGCAGATTCATGTTTTATATAAATCTGGAGCTTACTGAGAGTTTGAGTCATATCCTTAATTTGAATTTCTGAATGTGGATTCTCATATTGCTTCACATATCTCTGGCTCCATATAAGATGTATAGCCATATTGTTAAAATAGCTTTCTCATTAAAATATAAATGAAACCTCATGTTGATTGTAACAAGCATAAAGTATAACCAGAAGCTAGGCTTGCATCATTACTGAAATCCATCCATTTCATAACTTAAAAACCAACATAGATTGAATTTCCAATAAGTGTCTGACCATCATGGTATTGAATGGGGGTTTCAAGTCATTCATTTTGTTGTGTAATAGAACAAACATCTAGCCATTTGCACAGTGTCTTACTTATTGATTCATTTAGTTGACATTCAGTTAGATTTTGCTGATTTTTTGTGTGCACTTAAACTAAATATTTAAGCATACCGGTGTTCCTGACCCAAATTACTCAGAAGCTCTTAAGCCAATCACCTGACATAGGGTGTTACCTTTATGATTAAAAATACTTTTAGAGAACCAGATACTTAAAGGCAGAGTTTCATGAAGGCAAAAGTGTTCACACAGTGTAATACTTTAAAAAGATTACTTGCAGAATACAAATTTGATTGTAGGTATCTAGGTTGTTTGCACTGTCTTCTATCTTTAAGTTTATCCTTAGAAGTCTTTACCAACCTTTCAAAATCAATGTATGCTCTTTAAAGCTACCTAGAAATTGTTTTACAGGCAGAATGATGTTTTTACTTTTTTGCTTGTTTACTTTGGGTTTTGTGTTGAAATATACTGGGAAATAATTAACTGTAAGCAGCATTTGTTTTACGTATCAAAACATAGTTTAACTCCTTATTTCTCAATACTGAAATGAAACTTCCTTTCTATTTTTTTAAATCTGATGAAAGTGCTATGATTTATTTAAATTCATATATTTTGTAGTTTAATAACCAGAGATGCATTGAATATAAGCTTTAGATAATGATTAACATCTGCATCCAGATTCAGTAAAGTTAGTAGAGCTGCTCAAGTGCTTATAATTAAGCATATGATGAAGTCTCTTTCTTCATCAGGACTGTAGGGAGGGCAGACCAGCTTCTTCTGAATATTTTTTAATACCCAAATTCAACTTCCTGTACATTACAGAGTAAAATCTGTTGGATATCCAAGCATGACTAAAATACAAAAGGAGACATGAGTTTCTTTCCTTCCTAAGCCACATCTTTGATCTCATGGTGTCAATTGGATGCCTACTGAAAAGCCATGCAAAGGAGTGAAATTGAGTTTCCTGTACCGATAGGCCTCTTTCTGTAAGAAAGAAGCTGAGGTTTTAAAGTCTTTTGCAACATGAGGGTTTTTTTAAGGCCCTTTAAAATCCATCGGTGCTTGGCTGACAGCTTCCAACCCGAGCCTGTATACCTACGGTGTATATACTTCTTCAGGATCCAGTATAAAATAAACACTAGATCATTTGTTGATCTTTGTCATCTGGCACAGCATTTTTAAAAAGTAACTGTATCAGCTGTCTTCAGCTTCTGGACTGCAGGGCCCTGGATGGGTTTCTGAAGCCTCCTCAGAGGGTAACTAAGAAAAGCAAGCTTGGTGGCGGAAAGCTGGAGTTCGCTCTGCAGATATCTGTATTTGCTTTGTAAATTTGTGGGCATCTGCAGGTCTAAAAAGGCTGGAAACTCTTGAGTTACATGGTGTAATTTAAAAGTGATGACTGTTCTTTCCCTGCTACTATTTTGTAGTGTTCCCCCTCTTTCCCCGATAATGGTAATTATTTCGCTTTGGGATATTTCCATATTAGTCAGCTCCAGTGCATACTAGCTAGTTAGAACAGAGGCAAGGTTGGTGTGTGAGAGAGAAAAAGAAACAAGGAAAAGGTCAAAACAGTTTAAGAAAAGAATAATAATAAAATCCCATAAGCATCACTTCCACTTGCCAGAGCCGTGGTGGGAGATCTTGATATCCAATTTCAAGC